ATGCCACAGCATAACGCTGTGCATACGTGACACCGCCTTACCTTCGTTTTGTAGAGGTGTGAGCAAACTGTCTAGCTATATCCACCACAATCATATCTGATTGCCCCATATACCGTTCGTTGTTGTAGAGGTGTTACAACTGTCTTGCTATCATGCCAGCCGACATTCATATCCTGATGGCCCTCTAGCCGTTCGTTGTTGTAGGGGTGTTACAACTGTCCTAGCTATATCCACCAACATCATATCCTGATGGGCTCCTTACCTTCGTTGTTGTTGGGGTGATACAATTATTCTAAGCTTTCATACCACTATGGTTCTTGAATTAACCATTTGTCAGTTCTGTCAAAACCAGCGGCACTTCTCTAAATTCTTGAGCAGGTTTATGCGGCAACAAATCCACCCCACCGCTACTAATGCGGGCTGATGTTCCACTCGGTTGGAGGTTCCACAGTACACAGTTGATCGGAGTCAGTGAGGTGTTTTGCAACAGTTGCAGGTAGCAATCTGCAATATAATATCGTTGTCACTCAAACAAAATTAGTGTTTAATATTAAGTGTTTAACATAAATTTTTTATGAGGTACACACTCGTAAATATTTACAGTGGAACATAATCAGCTTTAAGACTAATGTTGAGATATTCTTGTTTCCAGGAAATAATGCCGGATATGAATACATTTGAAACGAATTAGAGAAATGAGCATTATTTCTCAATCCTCCGTAACTATTATTGAAAATCGAATGTTGATTATCATAAACGTTAGTTAAACTATTCTTTTTAACAATCGGCTTACGATCGCCACAATAAGTTATTAACTTAAACACCATTAATTATTCGTTAACAGTGGAACTGTAATTATAAAACTCGTAAAAGCCTTCTAAACTTCCAACATCCGCATGAATACAAAAAAATTCGTACCGCAAAGGAAATTTTCATTAAATAATCAGATGTTAGCCAGAAAACATAATACATCCTGAAAAAAAATCTGCGAACAACATAAAAAGGAAATTTAACGTAAAAAAATTTGTTGCCAGTCTGCGCGTTGCGCGGGCGACAGTCTCAGGAAGTTTGGCCTAACACTCGGCGGCGGCCACGGTCTAATGCAGAGTATGCATCATGGGCGCCTGTTCTCGATGCTTCAGCTGGGGATCGGCAGCCTCTGCGGAAACGGGGTTCATGGTGCTAGGCTGATGGCGATCCGCTCCGACTGGTTTCGCCAAACAAAGATTCTGGTGAGTTGTTTAAAACCCAGGCATCGGGCACGAAACGAAACTTTAATTTCTAAGCACAATTTTCTGGCACTCTGGCTAGACTATACGCCCTAAACTCGACCTGCGCGCGGCCTCCTTCGAGTTGCTGTGTAATGCGATTTACCGCTTGGCCATCGCCAGAGGACGGTAAAATTAACGTCGAAAACCATTGTCGGCAAAAAGTATGATTTGATGTCAAAACGAAGCGAAGCTACGCGGTTGTAAATACTACCGGAGATAGAATAAGGACCTAGTTGAACAATAGCAAGCTCATGTTTGTAATACAGTTTGTATTTTTAATTCACATCGAAACTTCGTACGACAAAAATGTAGTGAAATCCAGTACCAAATTTGTCCATTATTGACCTCCTGAACTATATATATATAATAATATATATATATATATCATATATATTATATTACGACAGTTCGCATGTTATGAATGTCATGTATTTTATGTGATGAAATGTTCCTAATTCGTTCTCTCTGCGTCGCGTAGGTAACATCAAACCATGGCAGCGGCTGGACACTATTTCTTCCCTGTCGGTGGCGTACAGACTGGTGAGGCCTGTGCATCTCCGCATCCGTGCGCCTACAAGCTGGGAGCTCAGCATGCACCGGCCGCAAGCTGAGGCAAGGCCGGCAGGAGGGGCTGTTCGTCCCGGAAGCTATCAGCGCTCGACCCGCCAGATACACCAGATACAGGAGATGACCGAGACGCGATGATCGCCGCATGCTGCGTGGCCAATGCAGGACTATGCACTGGAGAGACAGTTGTTCAATCGATGATGGCCAAACATGGATGTCGCACCTAGGTAGATGATAGATGGACAGTGCAGGTCAACGATATATATATATATAATATATATATATTATATATACTAACGATATGTCTTAATGATTCATCCTTAACGAGTAGCATCGCACCTAGGTAGATGATAGATGGACAGTGCAGGTCAACGATATATATATATATATATATTATCAGGAGTTTAGATAAAGACAAAGGAGTTTGACACGTATTTGGTACTGATTTCACTACATTTTTGTCGTACGAGTTCGATGTGAATAAAAATACAAATGTATACAAACATGAGCTTCTTTTGTTCACTGGTCCTTATTCTATCTTCCGGTAGTATTACAAACCGCGTAGCTTCCTTCGTTTTGACATAAATCGTACTTTTGCACGACATGGTTTTCACGTTATTTACCGTCCTCTGGCGAGGCCAAGCGGTAAATTCGCATACACAGCAACTCGAAGGAGGCACGGCAGGGAGTTTAGAGCGTATAGTCTAGCCGAGTGCAGAAAATGTGCTTAGAAATTAAGTTTCGTTGTGCCCATGCTGGGTTTAACACTCACCGGCATCTTTGTTTGGGAACCAGGTCGGAGCGATCGCCATCAGCAGCACCATGAACCCCGTTCCCAGAAGGCTGCCGATCCCCGTGAACATCCAGAACAGGCCCATGATGATACTCTGCATAGACCGTGGCGCCGCCGAGTAGGCAAACTCCAGACCTGTCGCCGCGGCAAAGCGAGACGGAACAAATTTTTTACGTTAAATTTCCTTTTTATTTGTACAATTTTTTTTCAGATTATTACGTTTCTGGCTACATCTGATTTTTCATTGAAAATTCTTTGCGGTACGAATTTTTTTATTATGCGATGTTGGAAGTAGAAGGCTTTTATGAGTTTATAATTACATTCCACTGTTAACAATAATTAATGGTGTTAAGTAATAACTCTACCATGTGGCGTCGAAGCGATGTAAAAAGAATAGTTTACTACGTTTATGATAATCACATTCGATTTTCAATAATAGTTACCAAGGATGAGAAATAATCTCATTCTCTAATTTGTTCAATTATTGATCGATTATTCCGGAAACAAAACTAGTCTCAACATTAGTCTTAAAGTGATTACGTTACTGTAAATAGTAAAAATTGGAAAAATATTTCCACTTTTTCACAAAATACAAGTAATTCTGTTCACTTTTTATGGTTAAATTGCTGCATTATACTTCCTTTTTTACTATATTGTTCGATGTGAACATACACTCGTGACTCATACATATAGCCCATAGCAAGCAATTAATGTCACGAACATAATATCAAATCGTCCAGTTTTTTGGATTTTTAACTAGTTGAGAAACAATCTTATCGGGTAAGAATTTGACGATACGTTTAGTCCCGTTAGCGCTTACTTTTCATGTAAAAAAAATTTCATGGCAACAAACATTTTACCAATTTTACCATAGAAAATTCGTGACGTAGTCAATTTAACATTAACTTTTTCTCGCAGACCGGACCTCTGATACACTGCGTACGAGAAACTCATAACTTCACAATGTTTCTTTCAGTGATCTACGATTAAAAATTAATGTTAACACCAAGGCCAAAACAAATATATGTGTGGTTACCGTTACATGCCGAAAAAAAGAGGGTAGGTAGGTAGGGAAAACATTTTATTTTCTTGAAATATTTTATTTACGAACCATGTCCGAAGGATGTGCGTTGTGTCTTTTGAAGCAGGAACTGTCCAATTCATATATTTTTTTAATTTTAATTTTTATTTATTTTTACTTTAAAATAAATTGACAATAAAATGTTTAGGGTCGCTCGGAATAAATAGGGTCGGTCGGGAAACCGTAACCACACCTATAATTTGTTTTGGCCTAATGTTAACACTAATATTAACACTAATTTTGTTAGTGACAACGATATAATTGCAGATGCTACCTGCAACAGTTGCAAACACCTCACTGACTCCGATCAACGTGTACTGTGGAACCTGCCACCAGATGGAGACATCAGCCGCATAGTAGGTGGTGTTGCCGATAACCTGCAAGAATTTAGAGAAGTGCGCTGGTTTGCAGAACGACAAATGGTTAATTCATGAACCATAGAGTAAAGCTAAACAGTTGTAACACCTCTACAACAATGAAGGCAAGGGGCATCAGGATATGATGTGGTGGATATAGCTAGACAGTTGTAACACCTCTACAACAACGAAGGTAAGGGGCATCAGGATATGATGTGGTGGATATAGCTAGACAGTTGTAACACCTCTACAACAACGAAGGTAAGGGGGTGTCAGTACACGGCGTGGTGGGGTATAGCTAGATTAGATGCGTCACCTGTACAATAGTATTGTTGCTCTGAGAGATAGCCTGCAGTCTGTACATCTCCACTCCTCCGGCCAGACACACCGACAACACGGCAAAGAACATGCCTGCAAGTCGTACGACGAAAAAATCAACGCTCGCGGGAAATACGACGCCACAAACGGATGTGCAAGCATCGTGTCAAACAAGTCAGTGCACGTCTTGAATAATTCTGTGATTCAAATAGCTATTCACTCCTGGCATTAACCAAACCACAAACACCTGTGACAATCGCAAGTCTTAAAAAAACAGGTTCGGAGAAACACACAAAAACACACAGCACTTGACTGCAAGGAAACCCCCGAACAAACCGCACCCACTAATAACACCCACAACCGCCCTTCCCGTGCGCATCCAAATACCACAAAAAAAAAAGAAAAAAAAAGAAGATTTTTAATTCTCGCGGGTGCCGACAGGTGGTGCCGCGAGCTCACCGGTGACGATGCGCAGCAGCAGGGGGCAGTGCATCTTCCTGCGATCGAGTGCGGGATAGATGAGCTGGCTGAAGAGCGGGATGAGCAGGATGAGAAGCACGACGTCAAACAGTGTGAGCCACGCCGCCGGGATCTGTGCAGTCGTCGTCGTCGCACGAGCGAGAGAGCGAGATTTAAAAATGTTAAATTTACTTGAGAGCGAGAGAGAGAGGGAGAGGGAGAGGGAGAGGGAGAGAAAGAAAGATTTAAAAATGTTAAATTTACTTGAGAGAGAGAGAGAGAGAGAGAAGAGGAAGAGGAGAGAAACGAGAGAGAGGAGGAAGAGAGAGAAGAGGAGCGAGAGAAGGGAGGAGAGGAGAGAGATAGTAGATTTAAAATGTTAATTTTACTGAGAAAAGGAGAGAGAGCGAGAGCGAGAGAGAGAGAGAGAGCGAGAGAGAGAGAAGGAGAGAGAGAGAGAGAGATGAAGAGAGAGAGAGAGAGAGACGAGAGAGAGGAGAGAGACTGAGAGAGAGAGAGAGAGAGAGAGAGAGAGAGAGCGAGACGAGAGAGAGAGCAGAGAGAGAGAGAGAGAGAGAGAGAGAGAGGTAGAGAGAGAGGAGAGAGAGAGGAGAGAGAGAGAAGAGAGAGAGAGCGAGAGGATTTACAACCCCCACGCAACACAGCACCGG